GGAGGCTTTCACCAGCTCTCGGATGCTCTCGGAAGCTCTCGGAGGCTTTCAGAAGCTTTCAAGGGCTCTCGGAGGCTCTCAGAAGCTTTCGTAGGCTCTCGTAGGCTCTCAGAAGCTCTCAGAGGCTCTCAGAGGTTCTCGGCCCCACAGCCTGAAACCCACCAACGCCAAACAGCCCCCTCATCGCATGCGAGGGCAATTCCTCGAGCGCCGCCATGATCAAGGGGCACGCGGTTGCTGGAGGCCGCACCTTGACATCGAAACCGAAGAACATGGAGGGTCCTGCCCGCGCCGCGGGCGCGCGAGCCCCACGGGCTACCCTATGCGCCCTAAGATAGGACCGAATTCAGCGCTACGTTCTGGACGTCATCCGCGCATTCAACCTCTCAGCCCTGCCGCAGCCCAGGAAGCTGCGCGTGGCCTCGCCCGCCGGACCTAGCACCAAGTTAGCAGCCGCACGTATGCCCTGCAACCTGATGCCCAACAACCGCCAAACTCTCTCCTAGGAACATGCGAGGGCGATTCCTTTCGCGCCACCATCATCCAGGGGGACGCGGTTGCGGATGGCCGCACCTTGACATCGAGACCGAAAAGCATGGAGGGTCCTGCCCGCGCCGCGGATGCGCGAGCCCTGCGGCCTACCCCATGGGCCTTAGCATAGGACCGACATCAGCGCTACGTCCTGAACGTCATCCGCACATCCAACCTCTCAGCCCTGCCGCAGCCCAGGAAGCTGCGCGTGGCTTCGCCCGCCCGCCCTAGCCTCATGCCTGCAGCCGCGCACCCTACTCTCCGAAACCTGAAGCCCACCAGCGCCAAGTTCTCCCCTAAGAACATGCGAGGGTGATTGCACTCACGCCGCCATCATCAAGGGGCACGCGGTTGCTGGAGGCCGCACCTTGACATCGAAACCGAAGAACATGGAGGGTCCTGCCCGTGCCGCGGACGCGCGAGCCCTGCGGCCTACGTGCGTACGTAGCCTCAATCAAGCCTGCATCCGCACGCCCTAAGCCCCGCAGCCCGAAGCCCACCAACGCCAAACAGTCCCCTAAGAACATGCGAGGGTGATTGCAATCGCACCACCATCATGAAGGGGCACGCGGTTGCTGAAGGCCGCACCGTGACTTCGGGACCGAAGAACATGGAGGGTCCCGCCCCCGCCGCGGACGCTCGTAGCCGAATCGTGAGCCCCGAACCCCAGCTTTGTCAGAACGAAGGAATAATGGCGCCAAACTGAAGAACATCGAGGATACCCTCCCCCAGGGTGCACAAGAACATGGAACAAAAACGAAGAACATAAGGGTACCCTCCCCGAACCACCGAAGTTCTTAACCCTTGCGCCGACCGTACATTGTTTTTGTTGATTTTATCGGCCCCTGGGTCGCTTTGTCTCGCTCCGATATTCGCGTTTTCTCGGCCTGGGTCGTGGTCTCGTTTGCTCGGACCCTGGTTCGTTTTCTCGTTTTCTTGTGTTCTCGGCCCCTGGGTCGTTACCTCGTTTTCTCGGGCCATGGTTCATTGTCTCGTTTTCTCGTTTTCTCGGCTTCTGGGTTTTTGTTTCGTTTTCTCGGGCCCTGGTTTGCTTTCTCGTTTGTTCGTTTTCTCTGCCTTTGGGTCGTGTTCTCGCTTGCTCGGGCCCTGGTTCGTTTTCTCGTTGTCTCGTTTTGTCGGCCCCTGGGTCGTGGTCTCGTTTTCTCGGGCACTGGTTTGTTTCCCGTTATCTCGTTCTGTCGGCCCTTGGGTCGTCTCGTTTTCTCGGCCCCTGGGTCGTGGTCTCGTTTTCTCTGCCCGTGGGTCGTGGTCTCGTTTTCTCGGACCCTGGTTCGTGTTGTCTCGTTTTCTTGGCCCCTGGGCCGTGGTCTCGTTTTCTCGGGCTGTTTCTCGGACCCTGCTTCGTTTTCTCGTTTTCTCAGCCCCTGGGTCGTGGTCTCGTTTTCTCTGACCCTGGGGCGTCGTCGTCGTCGGTCGCGCGTCGTCCGTCGTCCGTCGCCGTCTTCGCATGGCCTCGTCCTCGTCGTGACGACACGACGAGGTCATACGAAGACGGCGACAATGACGGCGACGGCGGCGACAACGACGACGAGGACGACGACGGCGTCGTGCGAAGTCGTCGAGCGACGGAGACGGCAGCGACGGCAGCGACGGGGGAGGATCGTCCGGCAGGGGGAGTTCAAGGGAGGGGGGTGGTAGCCAAGCCGCCCCTTCCCTTGTGGAAAGGGGGGAGGGGAGAGGGGGAGAAAAATTGAGGGAAGGGAGGGGGGGCGTCCCGCAGAGGGGGGTCCAAGGGAGGGGGCGGTAGCGAAGCCCCCCTTCCCTTTCGTAAGGGGGGGAGGGGGGGGGGGAGCTTCCCGGGTGCCGACGGGGGGAGGGGGGGGTGTGCTAAGCCTCCCCCCCCCCCCCTTGTGGAACCAAAACGGGAGAAAAGGGGGGGTAAAAGCTTCCGCAGAGGGGGTGGTAGCTAAGCCCCCCTTCCCTTTCGTAAGGGGGGGAGGGGGGTTAGCTTCCCAGGTGCCATAAGGGGGGCGGCCGGCTGGTAAGGCCCCCCCCCTTTGGAACCAAAGGGGGGGAGGGGGGGGGAGCTTCCGGCAGAGGGGAGTCGAGGGGAGAGTGGGGTAGCTAAGCTCTTCCTTCTTGTGGAAACAGGGGGAGGGGATGGGTAGCTTCAGGGGGGAGGCGGAAAAGGGAGGGAGAGGGGGGGGGCGGCTTCCAGCATGGGAGGTGGAAGGGAGGGAGGGGGTAGCTAAGGGGGGACCCCCCCCCTTTGCTCCGGCGCTGTGGGCGCGCTCTCTCATAGGCCCGTACAACGGTTCATTTCCATTGAGGGAACTGCGTCGTTGGAAAACAACCGATTGAAGATCTTGAAGCATACCGAAACATTGTTCTCGGGATTTCAACGCCACGTATCAACCTGACTGCTGCGTTTTGGCGATCCAGAATCGTACCATAACGCCTTTTTTTTCTGGATTCCAACACCGCGAATCAACATAACCGTTGCGCCCGCATAATCCTGAATCCGTCCAAAGCATCATGTTTGGTACGCTGACCATGGGACTCCGTGAAATTCTTGCAAATGTTTAAAACGAATGTGCGCGGCGCTAAAGCGAGAGCCACATTTTGAAAACGACCCGCCCTCAATCCGTGAAGCTCTTGCAAGTGTTTACAAAGAGTGTGCTCGGCGCTAAGGCGAGAACCACATTTTGAAAACCACCCGCCCTCAATCCGTGAAGCCCTTGCCATGTTGCGCAAAGAATGCGAGCGGCGCTAATGCGAAAACCAAATGTTGAAAACGACCCGCCCTCAATCCGTG